AAGAGAGGATCCATCCATGGCAAAGCTTCTACTGTTGTTATTGGCTGAATTTTGTGAGACAAGTGTTGTGAAAGCTTCCTGATCTGTTACCAAGACAACCAATTATTCACTAGTGGTATCATCCCAGGGTTTTGATAAAGCACACTTGTAACACGCCACTTTTGTCCACCATAAAAGAGCCGGAACATTGTTTTGAAAAGGTTAGCGTCCTTATAGGGTTCTTAAAACACCCTGCCTATTCAGGTCAGTGACACTCAATGCTGGCGCATAAACCTTTAAATGGAAATAGTAATCTCTCTTTCAACATGACATCATAGAACAGTTTTTTTTACCCATATTAGTTGGCTAAAATTATATATCTTTAACAATTAGTAATATAAACCTAACAAATATATGATCATTTTGATGTCTTGAAAGCATTAAAGGTCATTTTAGTTTTAAAAATGTAAATAATACAAAGAAAAAGGGATTCGTGGAATGGTAGAACAATGCCACAAGAATTATTACAGGAATGCGGAAGGCGGCCATTTATCCATTTATCCTAACATTCTCATCCCAAAAGTTTCTTTAGAGCTCCATTTGATTTAAATTACTGCGACTTCATTGCAGTGGATCTATTATGTCTGACTACGCCGATAAAACCTAGTTTCTGTCTGTGTGAGGTTCATGGCCCCTGTTACATTGAGCTGTCACAGGGAGAGAGTTAAAGGCGATGATGGAAGACAATGGTCTAGAATGGGCAAAGATAAAGACCAACATAGACCACAATTTACCAGATTAATTCTGGATAATGCTGGTTTAGCAGGTGAACCAGTGCTGCCAAACTGGTCACTGCTCCTGAGGCTGGTCATCTGTTGTCACCTCCAGTGTGACACTACCAGTCAAATATTCGGAATAATTAAGATTGCTTTAATGTTTTGATGAAAGAAGTATTATGTTCTCACCATTTATTTCATCCAAATATAATAAAAAAGAAATGTAATATTGTTAAATATTAACAGAATACTATTACATTAAAAGAACTGTTTTCTTAATATACTGTATACAATGTATATTATTAAGTAAGAGCCTTTATTAACAATTGAGCACCAATAATTGAGCAGCAAATCAGTATTAGAATGATGTCTGAAGGATCATGTGACACGTGAAAATTCAGCTTTGTCATCATAGGAATAAATTATATTCCAAAATATACTCAAATGGAAAACAGTTATTTGAATTGACTGTTTTCTTTAATAAATGCAACCTTAGACGTTAAAAAAAAGACCAAACCTGACTGATTATGACAGGTTCTATGTGCTTCTAAATCTGAAGCCTACTACCGGTACTCTTACATCTCTCAGTTCCTTCTGACATGTCAATCTTGAAAGAGTTTATAGAAGGTCACTGGGGTGAATAAAGTCTAAAATTGAGTCATCTCTTCTTTTCTCGTTCAATCTCCGACAGTTGCCAGAACAATGTTCAGGCCCTAAAAAAAAAATTCATTTTCCCACCTGGGATCCATTTAAGTGCCAGACCTGTGTGTCTTTGTAAGTGTGTGCATTTGAGTGTGTTTGTGTCTATGCATGTGCGCTGTGGTGGAATTAATCCACTGCCAATGTCCCAGTGTCCAGCACATTTCGGCTCCAAGGGTTCTCATCTCCATTTGGTGGCTCTTAAAAAGAGCACACATAGACTGATCTAGCTGGAATGTCAAAGACATCAGCAGTGACCACACAGGCAATCACTGTCAATCGATCAATCTGAGTGACAATGGAGAACTGATGAAAACGAGAAAGTGATAGGAGAGGCCATGAAACAAGGCCACAAAAGACATTCACTCTGTTTTCTTACTGACAGGAAGGTAACAGCTTTAGACGTGATTCTATAAAAGATCAAGAAGCAGAATTAATGTGTGTGACCTTTTGGTTTGATCACAAGAATTTTGTTAGAGTTTACAATTTTTGTATAGTCAACATAAAGTCAAAGTAGTTTCCATTTACTTTCTTAATACATGCACCTTGTGTTATTGTGAAAGTTATTCTAAAAAAAGAGAAAACTTTTGGCTGATGTCGCCTTGGCACCAAGGGTGTGGAAAAAAATGTTAAAGGGATCCTATTCAGTTTTTATAGCTTAACTAAACAGCTTCGGAGTTATTGAAATTGTTATATGACTTATGTATATATTTAATCACTTGAAAATTCTCAGCACTAACAACATATATTAGATCTCATTAAACGACAAATTAAACACAATGTACTATTGTATACTTTGTAACACATCACGCCATGTCTAACATGTCGCCATGTTTAAAGTTAAATACAAGTACTCAACAGCGACTCTAGGGGTCACTGTTTGATAAAAATGGAATTCCTGCATGGTGTCCCTTTAACCAGTAGCCAAACAACTGTAGCATATGTAACGCAGTCTTTCTGAAGTAAGATACGATTTTTGCTCTCAATTGTACGTTTGCTGATGATTAGGGGGGAACGTGATGGGCACTACTCCAAAAATGCCCCGCCTTGGTGACAGGCTTGCATTAATCTGCAAATCCTCATAGATAAGCATCACTTCTGCTCAAGGAAAGAGAAACGGCATAGTGACAGCAGCACCTTTACAGTGTCTCCCACATTTCTTCCCTCAGCACTGCTAGACTAATCCGCAAGCAGTCGTCGTAATCCTATAGGAGTCACATAAAAGCTACCATTCGTTGATAAACAGAAACGCCCTCTTGGGAAGGAAATGAAGCAAGAACTGACTCATCGGATAGAAACTCATCGGATAGAGATATTATATTATATCCACAATAAACAACCGGGAAAAGAAGATGCCATAGAACTATTATTTTTGAACTCAAGCCAAAGATAAAAAGTGTTTTTTTGTGTGTGTGTACTTTGTATTTTTCATAAATTAAGACTGTCTGTCCAAATTTCTAGCCTAGTTTTCTTCAACATGCTTTTGCTCCCCTGACTGACGTCTTGGGACGTCTTTTGACCATACGTCATTTAGGGTACCCTTAAACGTCGGTTAGATGATGTTATCGGATCCTAACCCTACCCCAGACCTAAACCTACCCCTAAACCTACCCCGTCACCTAACTGATGTTAAAGGTAAAGCGTCAGTTGTATGACAGCCCGGGATCGTCATCTAACCAACGTTTAAGAGTACCCTAAAAAGGCGGATGTTGACGTATGGTCAAAGGACGTCTCAGGACGTCAGTTATATGACGTTTTGGGATGAGATTGTGTTACCTGAGGAATAGAGTCTTAGTATAGACTCTATACCTCAGGGGCGTTTCCTCCAAGGAGGCAAGAGAGGCAGTGCCTCCTCAAACAATTAGATGAGAAAATTTCCCATGTCACAAAATTAAAACAATTCAAATATGAAAAAACATGACCTTAAAAATGTGTATAAATCACTTCTTTTTCTAAAATAACAGCGTCCAATAGGGACACCCGCAGGTAAAGTTACAGCGGGACACCGCGTCTCTCTTTGCCTCCCCTGAGCCCATTGACTTTTACAGACCCTCTAAAGCATGCGGTAGGTTTGCTGGGGGGTAATTGACAATGAATAGGGGGAAGTCACCTGAGAGGAGGCAATGCCTCCACGCTATGATTGGATATTATTTCTTATGGTTGGATATGATTGGTTCGTGCTATAAATTCTGCCTTTTGTTTTCATGTGTGTTCGTAGTGCGCACACTATAAAACTCTATAGTTTAAAACTCTTCGTCTAACACTAGAGTTGCATATAGTCTGGGCCTAACTATTGTATAAGATGTAAAACATGCTTCAGTCCTGTAGTGTAGGTTTGGCTTAAACAGCAAGCCACAAACTTGTTTATTATAGTGTCTGAAAAAAAAGGAAGTGTGTTTCTGAATTTTCTAATAAAAAGAGAAATGAATCCTTGCTTGAATGATATTATGACATCAATAAGTGTGTTCAACTTATTGAAGTTACAACTCCCAGGTAACCACGACTCTCGCAGGTTCCAAAGCAATACGGGTGTAGATTAACTTCCATGAACAGACGTTGCTTTCCAATTCGAGTTGCTCTTCATTTCCTTTGCAGTTTCATGGAGGGCTCTGAGTAATGATTGACAGATTTAGTTTCCTCTTGCATGCCGGCTCTTTGAGCAGTCACTTATTTCACACAAGCTAACAAAGGTTGGCCTGTGGGCAGGAGTGCTTGCAGAGTTTGATGCAAGCCTTTCTGATTGAAAACAACAGTGGGTTGTCTCACCAGCCCCAAAGAATCAGCTTTCTGCAGCCTTGAGGTGAATGTTGTCAGCCATACACTTCATTAACCACTTAGATTAACTTTAATTAAACACCCCTGTCTAAAGTTAACTAATCAGAAAGATGCCAATATTAGCAAAGGCGACAGATCATTCCAAAAAAGGTCAGCGACAAAGAGGGAGTGGAATAGAGCTAGAGAAAATCTGCTCACCTCTGATTAGTCATCATGATCCCACTAAAATGACCTACCATCAGAGGAGAAAATAGCTCTGTGGGCGACCGGGTCTCAGAATGTCTCAGATGAGTTCCTCTGAAAAGCTGCTGCTGTATTCTGTCATCATGTGCCCCTCGTCAACTATTTAGACCTGTTCAATATTTAATGAACTTTAATAACCCGGGAGCGGAGATAATGACTCATTAACACAGTGCCACATTTGTCATTTGCGCACCCAAATATATCCATTTTCAAGGCCCGGGGCAATTTGGATTTGGTTTAATATATCTCGGATTTTGCCACAGGCAGACACATTATAAGACATGATGTCATCGCAAAGTGTAAAACCCCTAAAGAATAGAGGACAACAGCTACTAAAAGACAGAGAAATGGCAGACATAATAAAAAAGTATGGAGACAGTGGTTGCCATTTGAGTGGTGCGATTCACAGCTGGAGTTGCATTACATTACACCTTCGCATTAGTCTTGTCAAGACAAGTTTTTGATTGCTGCTGCCCAATCTATAAAACATTCATGTATTTTATGGCCATTTCCTCTCTTTGTCTACAGAGAGGTGTAAAAAGATGGGGAAACACAACAGCAAGCTTGCTCCTGAGGTGCTAGACGATTTGACCAAGAGTACAGAGTTCAATGAAGTTGAGCTGAAGCAGTGGTATAAGGGATTTCTGAAGGACTGTCCAACTGGGATCCTCAATCTGGAAGAATTCCAGCAACTTTATGTCAAGGTGAACGTTGTCTATACACCCAAAGGGATATTTTACTCAGACGATATAGTTAATTTATCTATATGACCCGGAGGTGCATAAATTAAATTACAAGTATAATGAAAAATAATCTCAATAATTTTTTAAAAGGGATAGATCACCTAAATATGAAATTTCTGTCATGATTTACTGGCACTCATGCGGTTCCAAACCAGTAAAAATTTGTGTTTAAAGTTTGTATTTGTGTTTTGTTTTGGCGCTTTTCCACTGTTGGAACTGCTCAGTATCGTACGGTTCGGCTCGCTTTGCTTCTCCCTTACGTGGTACGACTCGGCTCGGTTCGCTTTAGCTCAGCTTGCATTTCCACTGCAGTTAGTACCACTTAAAAGTAGGTGGGATTATAGTCTGACCGCTTTAGTTTATCCGCTCCTCAGCAACCAACAAGAGGAACGTCTGCACTTCGTCCACTGACCACGATTCACGAAGTTTTCTTTAAAACAGGTGCTACAGCGGTGGCTGTTACTGGCTATTTAAATCTAGCGGGTTGGTTAGATGTCTCTCAAATACAATGACGCTGGTAGTGACGATTCTGTCTGACTTACCAATCAGTGGTCTGCAGTGTGTTCACGTCATATTTTAGTATCGGTACAATACGCTTGGAACCTCAACAGTGGTACCATTTAAAGCGAGCCGTACCGTACCATGCGGTGGAAAAGCGCCACAAGTGAGTCGTACCGAGCCGAGCCGTACCGTACCATGCATTGGAAAAGCACCAATATGTTAGTTAGGTTAGGTTAGGTTACTAAAAGGTGTACTAAAAAGTAGGGCTGGGTATTGAGACAAATTTCACAATTCGATTCGATTTCGATTCACAAGCTTGCAATTCGATTTCGATTTCGATTACGATTCGATTCAATATCGATTATTTTGGATATCAGTTACAATAAATGGCCATTTTTTTCAAGGGAATCAAATCTCTTAAATGCTGTAAACTATGGGAGTCTAGTTGTAGCCTACTAGGCTTCATTAGCCTAATATGAAGGTAATAATGAACTTTTTGTAGCTATACAAACACTTAAATTACACTTTTATTTATTTTTATAATCAGAAGATTATATGAAATATAAACATTTAAATAGTGGCTGTCATAAAAACCTGCCATATTTATTCAAATATGCATTAAATATTGAAGAACATTAAGATTGTAGTGCATATGCAATATGGTGTATATATTTAGCAAAATGCTCCTCTCTAGAGTTATTTTTTTCTAACTGACTAACGAGTTTATGTGGGTTTTCTGAGGTAAATATGACGAGACATGACAGTAATTACAAGCTGTTTAACTGACGTCTTTCCACGGTTGAAACGCTGATTGAGCGAATCAATGTGACATGATACGGATTTCGATAAGTTGTACTCTATGTTTTACCACACTTTCAGATGCTCATTCATGTTTATTTCGCGCTGTCATTGGTATTATTAACCCGGAAGAGAGATCAGCGCTGCTGCTTCTCTTGAGCTGCGCCTGAGCGATCTCACGCCACAGCGCCAAAACACTATTTATGTTTTTGAATTTCAAAAGAAAATGGACGTAATTTGAAAATTGAGACTTTGTTTCATATCAATAGTAACAAAGGACACAGATTATTGCGATCTTTTGGATGCGCACAGCCGCGATACAATGAGATTTAAGACTTGAGATTTAAGAATCGATATCGGTTCGTAAAAATGAGAGTCAATTAATATCGAGAAGTCGATATTTATTACCCAGCCCTACTAAAAAGTCAGTTGCCATATCTGTTTTTGTATCTTCCAGTTCTTCCCTTATGGCGATGCTTCAAAATTCGCTCAGCATGCCTTTCGGACCTTTGACAAAAATGGTGATGGTACCATTGACTTCAGAGAGTTCATCTGCGCACTGTCCATCACTTCCAGGGGAAGTTTCGAGCAGAAACTCAACTGGGCCTTCAACATGTACGACCTAGACGGAGATGGCAAGATCACACGCATGGAGATGCTGGAGATCATTGAGGTGAGGTATTCAGAGAAGCCATTTGCTTCGCATACTAAAATATGTGTTTGCTTTAGAAATGTGTTCACCCCATCGATTCGGGATGTCTCTGATGTCCAGGCAATCTACAAGATGGTCGGAACGGTGATCATGATGCGCATGAACGAGGACGGGCTGACCCCACAGCAGCGTGTGGACAAAATCTTCAGCAAGATGGACAAGGACCACAACGATGAGATCACGCTGGAGGAGTTCAAAGAGGCAGCCAAGAGCGACCCCTCCATTGTTCTTTTACTGCAATGTGACATGCAGAAGTAAGAAAGGATAGGAGGGAGATGAGTTAAGGAGGCTGGGGGGGTCTAGGGAGGGGAAGAGAACCATGTACAGACTTCTAGAGAGATGTAGGTAATAGATGCTGTTGAACAGAAGTTAGACTGCATGGTAATCTCAGTCGGGAGTGCAAAAGCAATGATTATGGCCATTTGGAATGATTAGTGAAAGTAATGCAAGAGAGAGTATTTTCAATCCTGTATCAATTTTTACACATTCCGTCTGCTTTCCAGCCTAGAGTCAGAAAGATTGAATCATTAATTGCATTGCATCCTCAGAAAAGTCTTTTGAGCCAAAAGAAAGGCATCCGTCTCTTTCAGAAGTTTAATTTAAAGGGGTGGTTTACTGCCAATCATGTCTTCATGTTTTTTGTTTTTTTTTAAACCTTATTTTTCATAAATTTCACCTTTATTGTAAGCCGCTTTCTCCACTGTTATTTGAACGACCGGTTGACTTCCTTATTTGGAAGTTGGACCGATGTTTTGTAATTGGCTAAACCGTATAGTTGTCCTGAAACTTCACGCACATTACCTTTACAGGCGAAAGTAGCATGTGCTCCGGTCAAATGTAAATAATGGTGTCGATACTGCAGAATCAGTTTGAGCCAGAATCAGATCAAGCAGAACCTCCACAAACATGGCTCTTACGATGGTACATTTTATTATTATTCTATTCTATTTTATTTTATTCTATTCTATTATGTTAGAATTTTGATATGCTGTTACTTGAAAATGCTACTGCTGCTTGTTAGCTTTTGGGATAGAGTTTTCTCCTGATTAAATATTAAATACTGAATAAATGGCCGAGTAATACCGTTTTTAAAGTGATCATTTTATCTATATAATGAACAAACGTTTACATTCACAAAACTTGTATTGTTTTCTTTAGGTGTACATGTGACATGTGTTAAAACTAAACTGTACACTGATAACAGCAGCTGAAGTTTGCTGTAGCGATTACTGCCTCTGGTTTTAAAGTTGGAGCTGCTTCATGTTTTAATAACAGTTTCTTCAGATTCTGGAAGCTGTCTTCCGTAAAATGTGGAGCACAGAGAGCTAAATTACGATTGTAATTTTCAAGAATATAATCAAACATACATTTTAGCCATTGTTGATGAACTACAGTGTCCATAGGAAGCCCTGGGTGAAAATAACACACTCTCGGCTCTCCACTAGAACTCTTCCTCTTCGACAAAGCCGCAGAAATATGGCCATGCCCCCTTTTTTGCATATTCCGGAGGGAGGGTTGATGTAAATGTGTGGGTTAGTTTCGTATAAAACCCAGGAAGTATTTCGTTGTAGTCCCATTCGAGTCATTTTTGAAGTCGTTCCTGATTTTACGTTGAACTTGAAATTGCAATCAACCACCCCTTTCTTTAATAATTATAAATAAATAATAATCCATTTTAACACATTTTAATCCAAGATGAAGATACAAAAGGCAAAGGATGAAAATATACATTAGGGATGTACGATATGTCTGAAGCTAGCTATCTGCTGATATTATTTTTATTTATTTATTTGTTGATATTGCATGCATAATCGCCCATTATTTGTATATATAATTGTGCATGCTCATTTACCTCATTTTTACCTCATTTTTACTTGATCGTTTCTGTCATCCAACCATAGACTGTAAAAAAATATCCAACACTCTTTAAAAACACTAACAATTTATTAGAGCCCGACCGATAAAGGATTTTGAAGGCCGATACCGATACAAATATTTGTTGGTTTTAAAATCCGATATCGGCTGATATTTTTTTACTTAAAAAAAAAAAAAATTATTAGAGCCCGACCGATAAAGGATTTTGAAGGCCGATACGGATATAAATATTTGTTGGTTTTAAAATCCGATATTCCGATATATCGCCCGATATTTTTTTTTTTCAGAAACGCGCAACAAAACATTTTCCCTAACATTAGTTAATTTGTAGTTATGTATGAGTTTTAACTAAAATAATATGATAATGCATTTTAAAAAGAAACTTGTTTCTTTTATTGTCGCAACAGAACAGAGGAACCAAAGCTCATTTGGTCTTCCACTGATGATAGTGGCATTAGCTAGCTTTGTGGTTAGCAGGGACGGTGTAGAGTGCCCTCTGGTGGACAAACTATACAATTCCAAAACTCATGACATGGTTGAAGCGTGTTTCGTCCGTTTTTATTTAATTTTTGAAATATTCATTTATGGGCCATTATAACTGCCGATACCGATAGTCTGGAAAATGCGTAATATCGGCCGATAATATCGGTCTGGCTCTACAATTTATTAAATGCAATCTTTAGCAGATCTCAAAATGAATTTCCATTCTACATTATAATGTGATGCCCAAATTTACCTGTAGCATTTGAAACACTCTTTTTTTTTTTAGTTTATTTAGACAAAGTAGTACTGTTGTTCATTTATCTACTGAAGAAGTGTCAGTTCACAAGAAAGGAAAACAGAAAAATGCAAGGCTTCATGGGGCTTCCATATTCATTGGCCATAACAATAATTATTTGCTTATTGGTATCAGCCAAATATTTATACCGTGCATCCCTATATAATATTTTGAATTTATTATGTCTGTACTGAAAATGTCAGAGCAGCAAAATGCCCGAGAAAGAGCTTTAGAGAGGGGAAATGTAGAAAGCACAGGGTTCTGGGCAGGACTGAATCCTTTGACATTTGCGGGTGCCTTCATATACAGCGCTCATATACCCCACTCGAGTAATACTGTTAGAAAAATGATACCATCACAAAGCACAGCCATCTTCTAATCGTGTTATTGGCTGAGATAAAACTATAAAGCCATGGCTGAGTAAGGGTGATATTTAGTGACGGATCATGCCAGAAAATGAAGAATAGCATTTATTAGATACTGACAATATATGTACATGAAGACATTTTGTACATAATGCCTATACACATGCTTAATATGTACATGTAAATGTTTCTCTTAGAACTGCTTTCGTATTCTGACACAGCTGCAATGATTCGTGTGCTAACACAACAGCAACTTTACTGTACTTATGTATGTGGGTCTGTCTGTGAACGAGGGAAACTAACGTGTGCATTTTCTTCTCTGCAATCTGGTGTGAAAGCCGCAGTGTGTGAGTGTGAGTTCACTGAAGAGAACACAAATGCCTCAACCTTTGTATTAATTCTTTCTTATGATCTTCACGCCAGTGCTAGGAGTATTACGCCGTCGTGTTTGTCGTCACCTGGTATGGCTGGTGAGCTGTTTTTGTCTTCAGTCTTCATTCATTCATCTCCTATTTCACAAGCTTAGCAAAGTGTCAACCAAAAGGATTTTAATTGTATGAATATTGTCAATGTTGAATTACCTTTCTTTACTCTTGTAATATAAGTGAACACAAATGTAAACCAGACGCAGAATGTGTAGTACCTGTCAATGTTACTATTGCGCTTTAACTTGAGAATACTGTTGCACTACATTGTGAGTAGAGGCAATTCAGCTTTAGTTTTAGACTGCCTCCCTGTGGTGAAAGATGTTAACTTCAGCAGAAGACCCTGAAAAAAAACTATTGCTGAATTTGATCTACATACTCTTACTTTTTCTACCATTGAACGATATGATAAGAGTAGTATGCTAGTATGTGGTTCCGAATTCAGCATACGTTTTTGAACAGGACTAGGGCTGTCGGGGCTTTCAGGTGGTCCAAATAAGATCCCCATGTGATATAGGTCCAGGGGGCAACCCATCAAATCTGTGAATTTTAGCAAGAATCCCTCAAATCATGAAATACTTTCTAGATCACAATGAGGATGTCTTACTACACAATAGCAATGATTATTCATGTTTAGATAATCATTTTAGCTTTATCTAAGTGACTTATTTTTCAATAGTAAAAGTAGTTTAGCAATAGATCACTGTAATCCTGCAGTTCATTTTGCAGCATATCTTGTGAGGTTACAGTTTCAGTAACAGGAGTTTCAGCAGTTTCTTTACTTGCTTTTACTCACAATCTTGTGAAATCCACATGGGATGCATTTCTTGTCACATTCACACACCCCTGTCGGTGTTTTTTACGACGGTGCAGTCTCTTTTTTTGTTATGTTACATAGTAGGTTTCTTGTGCTGAATGTGCCTCGTGAAAAAGAAGTAGGCTGTAAAGTTAAAAGTTTTACATTTTAAATCACTGTGTTTTAATAATCTTTTAAAAGTACACTTTAACAGAAATGACATGAAGTGTATTTTAGTGAATACGTGCTTGTCAGTACTTGTCAGCACTTTAAACAAATTTCAGACAAAAAATACTTTATAAAGATGTACTTAGGTAGGCCAAAAAGCACTGTAGTTCATCTAAATGCATTTAATTCCAATTTGAACATTCATTACATTACATATATTCTTTTCATAATAATAATAAACTATTCTAAAGTGTACTTCTTTTTCACCAGGGACAGTCAAATTTAATGGCAGCAGTTTTCAAGACATTGATTTTGATCTACAACTGCAGTTCAGATCTGTACCAGCTTGACTTAATGTATGGTCTGAAATCTTAATGATCACTGTGATTAGATTACATAAACACAGTTATTGTCACGGGTAATGATTATGGGAAGTGCAAAGTAGGCCTGGTGGATGTTGTGCAATGTGCACCACTAAATAGACTGTACATGCCACTGCTAAAGTCCAATGAGAGATTTTTTTTTTTGAGTGCCAAAGACTATAAAGCATAAAATTGGATATAGGGTTAATAAAATGTAATTATGTGTGTGTGAAAAAATATATATAACATATATATTATATTATAACACATATACACATAATATATATATGCACACATTTATAATACAGCTTGAAAAAAGTGATGCAAGTTCACATGTATAACCACCCCGTGCAGATTCTGATTATGTCCTAAAAAAAAAAAATACTAAAAAGGGATTCATTGTGTCCAGTCATGCAATACAATTCGCTTTCTGTACTGTATGTGTTGATGTGCATTTCCAAATGTCTGGTTTTCTGTTCACTTTTTTCAATATCGTAAAGCTCCTTGAACAAAGACGTGTACTTATTTTTGTTACATAGGGAATTAAATATGTGGATGTCTACTGAAATTCGTCTCCGGCTGTGTGTTGTTTGTCATCTTTACTGATTAGGTAAATGCTGTCAGACAAAGTCACATTTCTCTCTCTCCCTCTCTCTCTCATTTTCAGACCTGTGCAGTATGAGTCACTCTGGTGATGTCATGATAAATGTTGTTGTCATGGCAGCAGGGCAATAGCACATCTGAAGTGTGATGGGAGAATTGTATAAATGTAGACCTAAAATCAGGGACACACATTTTCACTAGTGCAATTTTCCAACAAATATGGTACACTTTAAGGTCACTCTGAGCTTTGTGCCAATCATTTCACCCCTGCTGAAAATGGCTTCAATCAGCCTGCACTGGTTTGTGGTTTTGCAGTAAAGTCAGTCTAGTCTGGGTTTTTGGTGTGCGTTCACATAATGAAAGAATGTATGAATGAAAGGTCATATTAATTTTCATTTTACACAAAACTTAGAGAATTATATAGTGGTGAGACATTGTCATTCAATGTTTTTGGGGGAAAAGACAAAAAAATAATGATATAAATAAATATAAAATATTTTATTTGTTGAACAACATTATTCACAACAGTCACATGAGTCTTTTTGATGGCGTCGTCTTCCCTCGGGTTGGCCATTGCATATTCAGGCTGTCGGGCTCATGAATATTAACCCTGCTGTTTCCGTTCTCCCACAGTGATTTGCTGAAATCAAAACGACAGGTGTGCATAGCCAATGGCATTAAAACTCTCACTTTAGCTTTTCCAAGCAATCGGATGGCAAGCCTTTCCGTTTTCAAATATTTCCCGCTCGGATCGGTTTCGTTTGTCACAAAATAAACTTCTTATATCCAATTATTATTCCTCATTTGTCTCCCCAATCGTATACCAGACAGAGTAGGCTAATATCCGCCCTTTCATAAAATATGCTAATCTCATTAGATCCCTGTCAGCAGTGCTGGTTAGTAGTAATTACATTAGTAGCCTAACTGATTACATGTCATCTGGATTACGTAATCAGATTCCAAAAATGAAGTAGGCTTACTTGTAATTAGATTATATAAAGTTTTAAAATACTCATAATCAGACTGCAGGTACTTTTTATTGATTATATGATTACATATTATTCACACAACGGGAGTAAATCATTCATATTGATTCTCCCTAATTCTTTGTCGTGGCTTACATTTTCCTTTCTTAAAAAAAAGCACATAGTTTAAATTGCACACACATACCAGCCTAGTCAGGTGGCTATTTACTTACCAATTAGAGAGGCCACAAAACATTTAAAAATTTCATTTTTAAGAAGCACTTTCTCAACATTTCATCATTATTGAATCAACTCTTGATGAAAACAATAATCATTATTTTAATTATTCATCGATAAATCACTTAACCATGTATTTCTTTCTACGCAAAGCTTTTGCCTTTCAAACTATTTTATTATAATTTTTAATAATTTTATTTATTTTAATTTTACATGTTTATGCTTCATGTTTAAACAACAATTTGATAAACCAGCAATGAACGCAACATTAGGCTTGTTTGAGATGAGCAAATTCTGCGCAGAATCGATCACCGGTGATCAGCGCGAGATGCATGCCGG